TGCTTCAAAACACTGAACACAAAAGTGCAAATTCCATAAACCAACTAGACAGCCTATACAATTTATGATAATGGACTATACTGTGAAATATGCCTTTGATAGGTGCATGAGGTATAACGCCTGATCATCAATGCGTGTTTTGCACCGATGCATGGTTCTTTCATGAAAGCTAACGGTACAGTTGTAGTTTTATACATTATATACGTTACCTAGTGCAGGTTACTGTAGGTCATCAATTAAAGTGGCTTATATTTGTTGCTATATAGGGAGAACCCTAATAAGCTGTCGGTTCGTTATCAGCGTCTATCGTTGGAGAGGTATGTATTAAAACATTCATTAAAATGTTGATAAAAGTTCCGAGTATGACTATATTACGTCATCTGTAAAAACAGATGATATTTCATGCAACTAATGATTTTGCTTTCCTATTATTAAATCATGAAACAAAAATAATATATCAAACAGACAAAGTAGATAAATGGATGTAAAATGCCTAGGTCTATTGATTTAGTTAGTTAGTTAGTAAAGTATTAATTATTGCTTTGAGAGACATAAAGGTGTTTTTATACGCTCGAGGGAAGGTTACAATCGAGCTTATTGCCCGAGGCTTTCCGAGGGCAATAGCTCGATTGTAACCTTCCCGAGAGCGTATATAAAAACAACTATGTCTCGAAAATTAAAACAGTCATTAATACTTTTATATACTGAAAATGGTAATAGAATACAACTTCGTGTTTTACAATACTATATCATGGAAATAAAAACCACCCCACGGGCCGCCGTGCGGTGCATTTAACTTTGTATCCTCTGACATCCGCGCCTCTGTATTCAAAGCTGCGTTGTACATTGAGAACTTACAGGAAAAAAAATCGTCCGGGCACCGTCCGGAACCCGCACGGGACCTGTAAGGTGCCCCACGCGCCCTTTACGGGCTCTCTACGGCCTAACGGTCAGATTAAAACGTCGGAAGAATTGGAAGCAGCCAAATCTGCACCACGGCGCCCGTAATGCTTAAAAAAATGTCCCGGCATTCGTAGGAACAATAAGCAACCGTTTGACCTACGATTAAAAGCACTTTTCGAGAGACTTCATACATGTGAATTAATGCCACTAGCGTATTGACATGGTTTTGAACCTGGGACCTTACGGGAACGAATCCTATGCTCTACCACTGATCCATTGTTTCTCCTACGTGTCTTCTTGTTCTTTTACTTACCCCTTTTCTGCATATAATATATTTCACATACATGTACATGTGTGATTGTGATGTAAACAAAATAAATTATGTATTCAGATTTAAAGTCCAAGGACCTAGTTATTGCATTCCCGCAATTATAATAAAAATTGGTACAAAGGACAGAAATAGAGAAAAGGGACCAAACAAATTAATAACAACAAATCAACAGAGAACTGCACTGGACCTTGATGACCATACAGTGGTCAGCTTTTTATATGAAAGCCCTTTGATAGCTTGATGCATCACACACTGAACACAAAAGTGCGAATTCCACAAACAGCCATATCGTTATTGTCTGATGAATAGACAGCCTTAATCATTGATAATAATCACTGGCGTACCTATGGGGGGCAGGGGGGTAGAGTGCCCCCCCCCCCTGACGGGCTCCAGGGGGGAAAAAGAAAAAGGGGGAAAAAGAAAAGAAAGGAAAAGGAAAGAAAAAGAAAAAAGGAAAAGGGAAGAAAAAAGGAAAGAAAGAGAAAAAAGGAAAAAAGGAAAGAAAAAAGGAAGAAGAAGAAAAAAGGAAGTAAAAGAGAAAAGAAAGGGAAAGGAAGAAAAATGGGGAAATTAAAAAAAAAAAAAAAGACCATGGCCGTACGCACCAGGGGGGGGGGGGGGGCAGTTGACCCCAGATATTTTGAAAACGTACAGTTTTTTTCCTGAAAATGTAGTGTAGGCCTATACCAAATCCTTCAATTCTACTTTTGAAAATGCAAAAGTACCCTCATGACCAGTTCGGTCGCTCGAACTCCCTTCACTCCTTTTGCTTTTGAGATTCTTCGAAAACTTTTAACGCATCTTTCCCCCTCCCCCACCAGAAAAATATTCCGCATACGGCCCTGAAAAATTAAAACAAATGAAAATAGGAAAATATAAGTGATATAACAAATTTGAAACTCTTCGCTGGCGCGAACTGCTTGCTAGCCTATTTTGTATTAAATGTTTTCACTTGCTCGTCCCCCTGAAAAAAGAAAAGGATTAGTATTGCCTAGAATACAATTGTGCCTGCCCCGACGGGCCCTGACCTGCAACCACGGCAACAATAACACACAATATATGTACCAAATGTTTCTAAAAGAGACTAATTCATTTTTCTCGCTCGCTTTGCTTTGGAAACAATTGTGCCCACCCTTGACCTGCAACAATATCATTACAAATGGAAGAGTTCTTTTGCCCTCTCGCCTAAAAGGAATTGAATCGCGGTAAACGCGATTGCGTCCATCCTGACCTGCACCAATAAAAACAAGTTTATTTATTAATTTCTATTAAAAGAGAATTTTTTGTTTTGCTTGCTCGCTATGCTCGCTCGCCAAGATGGAATTGACACCGCTAGCGTGCCCGCCCCAACCTGCAACAACCAGTAAATAATTATGTACCAGACGTTATTCAAAGAAGTTTTGGTGTGCTCGTGCTCGCCAAAACAGAATTAACATCACCTTAGACATGATTGTGTAAGCCCTGCCCTGCAACAAAAAAATCTGAAATTTATGAACCAATTATCATTACAAAAATTTTGCTCGCTCGCTACGCTCGCTCGCCAAAATAGAAATAACACCGCTTTTAATAATCACGTCCCTGACATAGAACAATGAACCCAAGTTTATATACCATATTTTCCCTATAAAAGAAAAGTGATTTTTTTTTCGCTCGCTAGGAATTATGTGCCCACCACTAACCTGCTACAATATCATTAAAAGAGAAATGTAGGGGGTTGCCTGCCCGCCAAAATGAGATTGACATTGCCTTAAACACGATTTGCCCGCCCCCTACCTGCAATAATGGAACAAATTTTATATAGCAATTCATTGAGAGAAAGATGTATTTTCGCTCGCTAGCTAAAATAGGTATAAAATCACCCTAAACACAATATTGTTCCCGCGCCCTGCATGGGACAATTGAACCAAGTTTAAGTGGCAATTATTAAAAAAGAAGTGATTTTTTTTCTTGCTCGCTACACTCGTTTGCAAAAAAATGAAATTAACGTCGCTAACAAGTGAATTTTCCCACCCCCAACTTGCAACAATACCAGTTTATATACCAAACGTTACTTAAAGATTTTTTTTTGCTCGCTTGCTCGCCAGAAGTGAAAATTAGCATCGCCTTTTTTGTTTGTTTCGGTCGCTTGCCCCCCCCCCCCTGACGGAGTACCCCAGGTACGCCACTGATAATAATGCACTATACTGTGAAATATGTCTTTGATAGGTGCATGAGGTATAACGCCTGATCATAACTGTGTGTTCTGCACCGATGCATAGTTCTTTTTTAATAAGCCAACGGTACAGTTGCAGTTATATACACGTTACCTAGCGCAGGTTACTGTAGGTCATCAATGAAAGTGGCTAATATTTGTTGCTATATAGGACAAACCCTGGCAAGCTATTGGTTCGTTATCAGCGTCTATCGTTGGAGAGGTATGTATTAACAAATTCATTCAAATGTTGATAAAAGTTCCGAGTATGACTATATTACGTCATCTGTAAAAAGCAGATGATATTTCATGCACTAATGATTTTGCTTTCCTATTATTAAATCATGAAACAAAAATAATATATCAAACAAAGTAGATAAATGGATGTAAAATGCCTAGGTCTATTGATTTAGTTAGTTAGTTAGTAAAGTATTAAGGACTGCTTTGAGAGACATAAAGTTGTTTTTATACGCTCGAGGGAAGGTTAAAATCGAGCTATTGCCCGAGGCTTTCCGAGGGCAATAGCTCGATTGTAACCTTCCCGAGAGCGTATATGAAAACAACTATGTCTCGAAAATTAAAGCAGTCATTAATACTTTTATATACTGAAAAGGGTAATGTGCGACTTACTAATCATGATAATCAAGTTTGTTTACGCTATCGAGACAGCAGACTAACTGACTAAGTAGTGTAAGGCACAAGGTACATACAAATACGTGTGTGGGACTATGAACGGGTTGGATTTTTTGTGTTACTGAAATGTGCTCAGAATTCGAGTAATTCATCTATTAAATGACTAAAACAGACAAGAAACAAGTCAAAGGTAAGGACAAGAATCGGTGCCTATCAATATAACAGAAATTTTGCATGAAATAACATCAGGAAAGCTATCTAAATTTGTCAGAAATTATCGACAAACACACAAAATTCAGCGCTGCAAATTACGCACAAAACGGCGTAGAATTCAACTTTTCATCCATCAAATAAATTCAAAGACTTGCATTATACAATCTTCAATACCTGTATCACCGTTATCGCAAGCAATAAAATCACAATCTATATCTAACCTAGATCTACGGTTAATAATAAGACCAATTCATTCGCGTAGGGCCTACCCTTTCGGTGTTCTTGCTGTCTAGCGACCAATTTTTTGCACACGTACACGTATGGTATACGCGATCGCTCAAACCAGTTTTTAAGCAAGACTGAACTATTCCTGGTAACTTGAATTTTACCCTCGAACTATTACATGGGCGTGGCATTTTTCGTTTATTTACGGGAATGGCTAAAACCATGACTGGAATGTCGACCAATCAGATGGCTGGATTTCTTAAGTGAGGTATATAATTTAGTTTAGTTATTCATTTGCCATTACTATTAGTACTATTTTTATTCAACAGTGTTGACTCATTCGACCAATACTTAGCCAAAGGTGTTTTGTCCGAGGCCAAGTTCCAAGAACATTCTCAACATTCTCAAACAGAGACCAATCTATTAAAAAATCTACCTCATTGTTACACTAAGGAAATAAGTGCTACAATGAACTTTCACAAAGGTTAAATTCGAATGAAAATAATGGACACGCAGAGCAGACCACGACCAACAAAACGATGGCTGATTCTTGTGGGACTCTTTGCCGTCGGATATTTTGACATCGGAACGTTGAAATCGATGGGCGTGTTCCTTGAGGAAATGACGGATGATTTGCAAACATCTCTCGCTGTCATCGGAGTAGCTATTGGACTATGTCACGGAGTAGCACAATGCTTTGGTGAGATGCTTTGTGTTACGATGGCCATTCAATCATAACCAGTATTAATGTTTCACTATTCCCTAAAGTAGTGGTTTCTAAGTACATGTAAAGAAAATGAGGGCGCGTGACGCTCTATGTGTTATAGCATTGGATTAAATCATATCATGTATTAGTAATTTTCACTGTGAAGCATTCCAATTAATAAATCTTGCATAGATGAATCAGTCACGCTATTTATATTCTAATCCCTTAAAAGGATAAAGCAATAACATTTGAGACTAGCTTTTTTTTAAATAATATATTTACTATGAATGAAAAAAAAAAATTCTGATTGACATTTGCCTCTTAATTTTTAATTTCACAGCGGTTATAAATGTTCCTCTATTAAAGCGGTTTTCAGCAGGAAAACTCGTCCTTGCAGGCAGTAGCATTGCCGCTACAGGACTCAGCCTCATATATTTTGCACTTTCTACTACTAATGCTTGTAACAGGTAGGCTTTCTACGAATCTCTTATTGCATAGATGCAAAACAATAATAGACCCAAAGTATACCCCTGAGGTACTACCATCAAAGCTTAATTGATCACGGAGTTCTTGAGCCTTGAAGAATTACTCTCCCAAAAGCGTGAACGCTGTCCTGGAGAGGGCTGTGCTGTGTTGCGTGCTGTTGGTGATGTGCTGTTGGTGAAGTGATGGTGGTTGTTCTCCGTGCACTATATACAATGTGCAGGGTGCAGTGTGCAGGTGGTGCAGGTGTGTCCCTCGTTACAACATCTTCAGGGGCAGGGGCGGCGCCATAGTCTGTATGGCGGGTAGTGCCGCTCCCCTAAAGCCAAGAATTGTATTTGCAGTGACAGCGTTGCTTGGGAGAGTGTTCCAGACACGGACTGCTCTGGAACACGGACTGCTCGGTTACATAATCTTGTTTACAAATTTGATGTAGTCTTTTAAAAAAGAACAAAGTAATTAAACAGACGTCATTCTATGGAATATATACTTGCCATTGTTTCATCGCGTAATGACCAATTGATCAATTTCTTAAGTGTGTCGTACCTGGAGGCCATTCAGATTTAGACCAGCGTTATTTTACAATCACCATTTGTCTGTGGAATTAGACAATTTACCAAGCGTACTCTTCACTCTAAGCGGGCTGCTTTTATTTGAGTATCAGATGCTTTACACATGATAATGAAGGAGTTGTGTACAAAATTATCCACAGTGCCTGTTAAAGTTCACTTAGTTCTGAGGCCCACGTGGTCATCAATTTGGTCTTAATCATAATTAAACTGATTGAAATGATCTGGGTGTCTAACGTAAATTGTGTGGAGTACGTGCGGGGGAAAAACAGATCTAAATGACGTTTTTTAAATGTTACTTTCCCTTTTTCACCAGGGTTTGGTTATAGCTTAGTCATTTTGCCTTCTGAAGCCAGCGTCGTTGACTTCTTTCCAGATCACTTCGAAATCGCTACAACCATTGTCCTCCTCGGCAGCAGTGTAGGTATGATGACGCTCCCATTGCTTACAGAACAGCTCGTCATGGCTTACTCCTGGAGAGGAGCGATCCTTATTCTAGGGGCCTTGAACTTTCATTCGTGTGCGACGGGGCTACTAATGGCGTCAAGTAGTCAACACAGGCGTATATTAGGAGAACCTACATTTTTAGCTGGTAGAGCTCAGATCGGGGAAGACCATGAAGAAACTGTGTCCCTGATAAACGAGCAGACGACTGTTGACCTACATAACTTAGATGATGATCGCAATGACGATGGAGTCTTTTGCTCCAGCGCCAAAATCGTCAGAGCTGCTAAAAAGATATTCCTGGATATTTTTGATGTCAAAGTATTCCGTGAGTGCCCCCGCTTCATCACAATCTGCATGACTTTCTTTACTTCCGCCGTCTCCTACTATGGATGGATCGTCTTCTTGATTCCCAATGCCGAAGCCAAGGGTATCAGTCCCGACAAAGCCGTCCTACTTGCAACCATTGGCGGTGCTGCGAACATCTTTGGAAGGCTCACAGTAGGTTTCCTGGCTGCAAGGCTCAATCTGAAACCTCAGGTCACCTACTGTTTCATCTGCATCGCAACAGCAGGGGCGTTCTTCTGTAATTTCTTTACTAAGAGATATTCGATTCTTAGCTGTTTAGCAGCGATGAATGGCTTCGCATTAGGTGGGAAAGTCTTGAGTAGCAACCTTCTGTGTAAGGACAGTGTATCGGACGAAAGGTACCCAGCTGCGCTGTCTTTCATATCACTCGCCTTTGGTATAGGGGAGGTACTTGGGGCATCCTTCATTGGTATGTACATAATTATAAACGGATGCAAAGTGTCTGTTTTATACCTTTTCGTGTTCTTTTGTTGTTTCTTTGTATGTTTTTGTTGTCTTTTGGGGAATAAATTCGTCATGGGGTCCAGTAACTAACATCAGAGTACTGAATAATAGAGTATAAGGACGCCCTTTTTCTTATTTTGCTGACAGGTGATGCTATCGGTTTTCCCCTTTATAGATTTTGAATTTTGGAATGTACCAAATTATCCAAACGTGAGACAAGTTTTCTTTCTATATATAAAACACAGTAAATATATAAATTGTTACTTATCGTGGATTTAACAAGCCCGTCCTTATACCAAATCAATAGGCTGACATCACGAGTTTTTATTATTTTTTTTCACTTTTTTTCCATCATTAAATCTTTTCTCTAAACAGGTCTTCTGTACGATAACACCAAGTCATTTGATATTATTTTCTGTGTGCTTGGAGCAGCTAATATTTTGGAGTCCTGCATCATCATTTCTCCCATCATCAAGGATTGGATGGTCGCCATGGTTACCACCCGTTAATGAAGGGCAGGAGGTTCAATTTCTGGTGCTGGCTATCGTCACTGGCATAGCTAGGGGTCATATTCACCCCCACCGTATGGGAGGAAAATGGGACAAACATAGCGAAATGGCAAAATACCCGTCAATGTGTTTCACGGAATAATATCTTTTCACGGTTAAAAGGAGAAAAAAATAAAATCTATATTTAAAGGGATCCGGTAACTTTGTCTCAGATTCTGAAACAAAATCATGGATTTAGCTCATGCTGCAATGATAAGTATGAACCTTTAGGTCAGTCAGGAACCCCATGATTTTTACAAGCATATCGCATGTCTGATTACCAAGATATCTATGATTGGAAACCGAAACCATATTTTGAGTTTTCCTAACGGTTCTTATAACAATATAGTCTACTGGTGGAGAACGAGTATGGTAAAAACCGGTCACTCAAAGATTTTTACTTTTTTGAGGTACTTCTTGATCGTTTTGAAGTGCAATTTTGTTTAGGGCTTTAATATTACACCATATCACAAACAGTGATACCACGTAGGGCCGTGCAGCTCAGATTTAACATTGTTAAACGATGCCTTTAAATATAGACCTGCCCTTGTTTAAAAAAAAATCTATTTACATAAACATTCAATTTGAAATAATATTCCAATGTATTACTGTAATTTATTGATTGTTTTAATTTGTTAAAATCACTCAATTATTCACTGTTCCAATCTATTACAATCATTTGAATAGACGGCTCTTATAACAAACAATTCAACACACGATCCGTTAAAAAACTAAGACTATCTGAGATGAAATATTATTTCAAGTACATATTCTATATATCTTTATATTTTACTAAGAACTTTAACGAATTTTCAATTATTTCATGTTATCTTTGATTGCATATGTAGTGTTGTATTTCAATGTTTTTATCAAATGTAAACAAATCACAAAAATTCAGCCCTCGGGCTTCGAGATGATTTTGAATAAAACAAACAATTAACTAGACTTTAATTCGTCACTTAGACGAATTAGGTGATACGGATGATAATGGTTTACATAACGAATAATGCATTACACGATATATTATTTTGTAAAATGCTTCTTCCATTTATATGCTTCTCCCATTATGATCTATTCATATGTCAAGATTAAATTGTGTCTCCTTGATCATCATGGATCGAGGGAAGATAGATTGAAACAATATATGACCTTTGACCCTGTGCAGTAACCAGTTACACATTTGACTCTAATTTACATCATGAAGAACACCTTTTGACGATTTTATCTTATTCAAAGAAATGAAAATGTAATTGATAAATGGTTATCATCATTATGATGATGATCATGATGATAATGATCATGATTATGAGCGCGATCCTGAGATCTTATTGAAAAAATGAGGGTTGATTTAGATAGCATATCGTCTCAGCTACAACATACTCAAAAATCAACAAAATCCAAGCAGAAATAATGGCGATATTGCTCGCAAAAGACAGGAATGTAGAATCCAGATTTGAGAAAAAGTCATCTCCTATAGGGATTACACGCAAAAAGTAATAGATTTAGTGAAAATAGGGTAATAATAAAGTAAAAAGGGTTGTTTATGACATTATTTGCGATTCTACGTGTTTCAATAATCAAAGGAGATGGTACAGTGAAAGGTCCAAAGGAAAAAAAAGTGAAGAAAAAAATTGTTGGAGACACCCGGACTCGAACCAGGGATCTTGAGGTTGGAAGTCAAGTGCGTTTAAATACCAAAACATCTCCCATAGCGATTACACGTAAACGGGAAATGGGATTTTGAAATCCTAGTTTGCAAGTGAAATATGAGCATGATCACGGCATCTAATCGAAAAATAAAGGGCACACTTGTGATAGCTCATTGTCTCAGCTACAACATATCCGAAGCTCAGCGAAAACGAAGCTAAAACAACGGAGATTTTGCTCGCGAAAGACAGGAGTGTAGAATCCAGTTTTGAGAAAAAGTCATGTCCCATAGAGAATACACGCAAAATGTGAAAAATTAACATGCCTCCTTTAATCGCAAAAATACACCATGATGCCTTTGTCAAAATGAAAAATTGTGGGAACTGCATTTGTAGAAAATTGTCTAAGCTAGAACATATCAAAATTTGAAAGAAAATTGATCCATATTTACAGAGATATAATCAATTTTCCAAAAATATGCTGACGTCATAATATGCAAATTGAAATTTTGAGTTTGGAGGCCATTATGATGACGTCATGAGTTAATTGAGGATCAAATGAGACATGAAATCATATCTCCAACTCATAATCTATTTAAATATGAAAAAATATTAGGAGTTTCTATCTATTCTAAAGAGTTACAATTAATTTTATATAGGCATGTTTTTGCCCATGTATTGTGGATAAAGATAACGCAGATCCGCGCGTGCTGTCAACTTTGACGGACGCTCATTGCGTTATTAAAAGGTGAACAAGTTATCAAACTGCTTGGAAAAATGTACCAAATATGATGACAGAAAAAAATCGGCGATTCTATGTTGCAAAATGCCAGTACGCGCGAAAACGCGCGCGCATGCGCGTGTGCGTAATTTTTTTATCAAATGCTCCATATGGCCTGAAACGTATGTAAAACAAATTTGGGATGATTTGGAGCATTTTAAAAAAATTCGCGCGCGTAAACGGACAAAAGCGTACGCGCATTTCTGCGTGCATTTTTTGACCTGAAATTAACCGGACGGATATTGATCTTGATCATGGTCAATATAAATGAAAAATTTCTTTCCGTTATGAAGATATGATCATAAGTTGATTTTCACAAAATGGCGCCTGGATGACGTCACGATCATTTTGACTATCTGAAAAGACTAAGATCTATCATCATGGCAAGTTTCATGATAATGGCTGTATTTAGTCTTGAGATATCCTGCGAACAAATTCGAGGAAGAATAATAAATAATAAATAAATAATAAATAAATAAAAATGTTGACGAAATCAAAAGGTGATACGTAGACTTCGTTACGTATCACCTAATAATATATAGTAATAGTAAATTAACAAAAACCGACACAAAACAGTCAAAACGTAGTCAATAACAGAGAAAAGATTTTCCACAGGGACATCTATTCCGATTAAAAGGAAGCAAGACTTACCGGGCTACAAGCTTTGAAAGAAAGGATGGAAATCTAACTCGTATTACGTTACATTCAACATGGGACCCTATTAAGATTATAATACTTATAAGAATTAGGTTAAGAGTTAGGTCCCTTTCCGAGACAGGGCCAACTGGATAACCGACCAAACCAAGGGGAGCTATGATCCTGCGGGATGTAGAACCAGGGCCCCGTTTCACAAAAAATGTCATCAGTGACAAATGACAGTTTTTGTTATAAGCTACTGAAATCCTTGCTTCTGATTGGTTATCAGCAGATTTTTCATTGATATTTGTCATTTGTCATTGAAAAAAGGCTTTGTGAAACACCCTCCAGTTGGTTGATTGCGGGACTCCAGGTCAGACGAATTTGAAGAGAGCATATCGACAGAATACAACACTGCACATTTGGATTCACGATTCGCAAACGCTCTTTTGCAACTTCAGACATTATCAACATAACCGTTTACTAGGAGCAAACGACTCATATTAAGAGGAAGATCCCTCAAGATTGAAGGAGCTTTTATACAACATATCGAATATACATGGATGCTTCCTATCGCTGAAGTTGTGTCTTGCACGACCTCCCTTGATAAGTGATTAGTCTATTTCGTTTCCCTTCCAGAAGATCCAAGAGGCCTTTAATGTTTGATTTTCGTTGTCAAGTTCATGTCAAGACTTCCACACTGCACTTCCTGAGGAAAACAGATCCACTCCCTTGTGAGGCGATGACGAATGACACCAACCCACTTCTTAACTCTCTACATCCATTCGTGATAGCGGCGAATTCAGGGAGAAAGGGAAGAAGTGGTAAAGAAAAGTTCTGCATCCCCTCATGGTACGCTCAATGATATTAAATCCACGAGGAAATACCCCCACAAGTCATTCCCTCTGGTTTTCGTCTTGTGTGTGTGCGTGTGTGTGTCTGTTTGCGCACATGCGCGCGCGTGTGCGTGTGTGTGTGGATGGGTGGGTGGGGGTGTTTACGCGCGCGTGCGTGTTGTGTTGTGTTTATGGTTAGTTGGATAGTAGGTTTTTTGATTGGTTGTCTCTTGTTTCTTTCGTATTTGTTTTGTCTTTTTCTGCCTTTTTTAGCAGGGCCGCATCTCACTATTCATCTGTAAATATTGTACATTTATTTGCCAATATTGATGAACATGGTAAGGTCACAACTAACATCGTTTATAGTGCGTGACACTGAGTGAATATGAGATATCAGCGTCACGGAAAGGCTTGTCAGAAAATCTCCATGTCTTAAAGATTTTAGATGGAAGAGATATCAAAATTTCGTTATTAAATGGACCGTATGAAGACCATTAATCCTAACGCCAGTAATTTGATGCAATAGTAGCACAGTTCATTATGCATTCACTTACAGTACAATGTCATTCTAACATGATGCGTCAAAGACTGCATCGGTCATTGACCTTTCCCTACGTCTGCAAATTGACACATCGTGTACACCTACAGTATAGTTTAACAACCAATTTTGTGTAATAACATCGCTAGTATCGTTACGGTAGGCCTACTTTCTAATATTACAAGGTGTTATCAACTCCTTGGTTATGATCGACCTACGTACATGACACAGTGTTTCTTAAAGTGACTCGATCGGTATTAAACATTGTTGAAGGTTGATTATAACTGCGTAATGTTTGTATGAAATGTGAGTTATTATTTTCCTTCTACTGTACTAACCCTCTAACATGCAAAATATCCTGAAAAAAATTATCAAACCACAAAGATATGTATGTATTTCTTTGAAAGCGTCACTGTGCAACACCCTCTAACTGTAAAGTATCACAACCATTTTTGAATTCTCCAAATCGTTTTTCCATGAAAATAAGACAGGCTTTTAAAAATCTCTCAACACTTAAATGTCTGAAATGGTATATAGAGCTAATTCATTGCTTTGTGGCGATTTACATTCACCTAAAGTGTAATTATATTGTAATAATATAGTTAGGATAATTAAAGAATCGATCAGATCAGTTTTCCCCAATTGCTATCTTTAAAAATTAATGGTCTGCTTTCACTCAAACTTTCAGATAATCTTTAATTGTACATCTAGCATTGAAGAGCAATGTTACCAAGTCCCTTTAAAGCAAATCGTGAGCTTTGGTATAGGCATCGTGTGTCGAGAGAACACGGCTATAATTCATTCTGATTGTTTAGCCTGCAGTAGATTGATTGTTTGAACAATTAACATAATACAACCTCACACAGATTGGCCGGAAATCATCTTCAATAAAAAAAAATAAAAAATAAAAAATAAAAAAAAAAACTATCATTTGCACATAGGAACCTGTGTTAAGAACATGGTGTTGGGCCTACTTACCTCGATTTCTTTATATTTATATGCTCATTACTCAGCCCCTATATATCTTCTACCAAATTCGTTTCGCAGATGTCATTTATTTATTGTTTTGAACATTCATTGTAAATTTTGTTGGATTCTGTGAGACTTTATTTTCTATCATTACCAGAACTCAAGCTTGTCTTTAAGTTTCGGCGTCAATGCTTGGTTGCTAGGCGTAAGTTCGCGAAAGATTTGCGGGGACATGTGTCAACGCAATATACGATCTCAGTCGTCTTCATGCACGGATGCCATTCTTCGAGTTCAGAGGCTTTGATACTAGCAGTAGTGGATTGGGAATCGAAACGACTTCCCACCCGAAACCCCACACCAACTCGAGACTTATCTCAATCTTTGTCCCGGTGAAACTTTGTTTTGAGGTAGCAGTTTTATTCCTATTCCTGGGGGGTAAATGCAGCTGACGGGGAGAATTTTATTAGTTTTGCGTTGCCATATCCAGTGGTTTTACCCGGGGAAAGTCGGATCGTTTTGTGGAAATATTTTCCTTGGAATAGTCGCATGAGATGAATGCTGATTGACGTTGTGAATGAATGAATGAATTGAATGATGATGATAAAAAATGTTTGTAATAATTATAATGACAATAATAATAATAATAATATTAATAATAATGATAATAATGATAACAATAATGACAAAAGTATTTTTTAAGAAAAATGATAATAAATTTATCTTGTTATCTAATGATCGATAATTTCACTTTTGTTCTCTTGTCATTTCTCTGTTAAGTTTCACTTGCATCAATATTGTAAAGCGCTTTGATAAATCTCTTATGAAAAGCGCTATATATTAAGTAGAAATTATTATTATTATTATATTAATAATAACAATAATGATAAATTGCCGTTTTTTGTATAGCGCACATCGCATTATGATATAACGTCTATGCATGGTTTTTGCTCAAGCAACCGTAGCGGCCAGTGGATTAAGGAAATAAATCCTACTAGGTACCCACTAATCACCTTGATCGAGTGTTCCAAATGCAGATTAAGGTCTTGCCAAATGACGTTAGTGATGAGGCAGGGATTCGAACCCACACCTCATAATAAGGGATCACTTCGTTTTAGAGTTTATTCCACTTGAAATTAAAGTGGAATCCACACAAAGTAGTAGTTTAAAATACTCTTTTGAGAGTGTATTCCTATATTTTAAACGTGCGTTTAAAAAAGTGATTCTTAATATGAAAAAAGTACAACAAGAAAGATGATTCGTTGATTTTTTTTTTTTTATTAACGGAGGGATTGTCTTTAGGTTGCAAGTTTGCAACAACGGAATAGGAAACAATACAACTTTCTATAATTACCTCAACGTGAAATTAATTCGGAAGATAAACATATTTTCTCTGACTAATTATCCTAATTAATTATGACAAGAAACTAGATTTGATATTTCCAACAACCATTTTTATTTGCCTTATATTCAAACCTTGGATGGGTAAATATCACATGAAAATCACGATGTAATGATAATAATACTCCGATTTAGCGGTGACCACAAAGTATTTTGTTTAAAGCACCTCTGAAATATTGAGTACCATGATTAAAATTTTCAAATAAACAAGGTGCGCTTTGTTTGTGCGGTAGGGGCAGGCAAATCCATCTTGTGTGACTTTAGCCCTCCGCTTACTTCTGCAAGTCTATAGAACATGGAAATATATAAATTAGGCAATTATAGTCTATATTTGAATATTCGCTATATGAATCTATATACAAAGTCATGTACATATCTTCGTAAATGTAGTCCGATATGTTTACTATGACTTGCTTTACATATTGGAACATTTCAAGCAATTTTCCACCTTTTTAAACCTTTGAGATAGTGTCAGATCGTTTCAGAGATTTAGCTGTGGGTTGGCTTTAACATAGTAACGCTATATCGGTTAAAGGTGGAAAGGGGTTCATACACTGATAAGAAGCTCAGTCACACCGCCAAACTAAATCCAAACCGACTAATTTGGCAAATGGGGGTAAGGCCAATGGTCCTGCAAGATGGACGAAGCAAATTGTTTTAAATAAACCTAGTTATTAAAGCAATCCTGATACATAATGATAATATGTTTGTATAGACAAAGAATATCAAGTAAAATATAATTTACTCTTTAATTCATTAACAAAATTAAACAAAATATTTGCCATTTCTTAGTATGAAAATCGAGACGATTTTTTTTAGAAGCAATTATACGTTCCATATTTTTTAAATGTTTAAGAGGTCATAGAAAATAACGAAATAATGGAATAATATTTTTGCATCTTAAGAGTATATATAAAATATTTAGAAAATATGATAACTGCATTGAAGAAATAGAAATAGTGTCAAAATAAAATTCTTCATCTGTGAACAAAACATTACGTATATATTTTTTTCTTTTAACCGTGAAAATATCGTTCAATTAAGCACGTTGTACCCCTTTCGCTATTTGTGTCCCTCCATTTTCCATACGGTGGGGGTAAATAGGACTCCTAGCTATACCACTGGCGATAACCGGCCCATGAAAGTGTACCTCCTGCCCTTCATTAACGGGTGGTAACCATGGCGACCATCCTATCCTTGATGATGGGAGAAATGATGATGCAGGACTCCAATATATTTGCTGCTCCAAGCACACAGAAAATGACATCGAATGACTTGGTGATATTGTAAAGAAGCCCTGTTTGTAGAGAAAATATATATATATATATATTTAATTTCAAGTTCTTGTAAGCGGGACTGCACTACTTGTAGCTACTTGCGCCCTCTATATAGCAAACAATGCCTGATCGGTGTCTGTTGGTCCTCCATGATCCTCTTTCTCTTATGTTAATTTAGAGCTGATCTGATAAGATAACCACCTGTCAGTGACCTTGCAGGAAGGTCTTATTTCACCTGGCCGAACTAGTGCAGATGGGCTTTAAAATTCATGATATTGGCCTATTATTTTGTATAATTACGTGTTTTTTTTTAATCCACGATAATTAATAATGTGTGTGTGTACTGTTCTTTTAACTATGTCCCACGTGTTGATTAATTGGTACATTGCCTTATTCAAAATGTATGAGGGGGAAACCCGATAGCATCTACTCGCAGCAAAAGGAAAACAGAGGGCGTTCCTCATACTCTATTATTCATTACGTTGCTGTATGTACCGTGATTTCCGGACGAGTTTTAAAAATGAGATAAGAAGTAACAACAAACAAACAAATCGAAATGGTCCGTAACTGACACGTTTTATCCGTTCATAATTATGTACCTACCAATGGACAACGCCCCGACTGCCTCCCCTATACCAAAGGCGAGTGATGAGAAAGACATCGCAGCTGGGTACCTTTCCTCCGAGACACTGTCCTTACACAGAAGATTACTACTCACGGTTTTCCAACCCATTGCGAAGCCATTCGTAGCTGCAAAACAGCTAAGAATCGAAAATCTTTTAGTGAAGCAATTACAGAAGAACGCCCCTGCTGATACGACGGAGATGAGGCAGTAGGTGACCCGGGGTTTCAGATTGACCCTTGCAGCCCGGAAACCTACTGTGAGCCTTCCAAAGATGTTCGCAACACCGCCAATGGTTGCGAGTAGGACTGCTTTGTCGGGGCTGATACCCTTGGCTTCGGCGTTGGGAATCAAGAAGACAATCCACCCGTAGAAGGAGATGGCGAAAGTAAAGAAAGTCATGCAGACTATGATGAAGCGGGGGCAATCACGGAAGACTTTGATATCGAAAATATCCAGGAATATCTTTTTGGCAGCTCTGGCAATTATGGCGATAGAGCAAAATACCCCATCGTCATTGCCATCACCAACATCATCGTCATCAAGATGAACATCTATGGTATGTTGGGCAAAGCTCGCGTGTTCGTTTATCAGGGACACAGTTTCTTCATGGTCTTCCCCGATCTGAGCTCTGCCGGCTAACGTTGTAGGTTCTCCTAACACACGCCTTTGTTGACTACTTGACGCCATTAGTAGCCCCGTCACACACGAATGAAAGTTCAAGGCACCTAGAATAAGGATCGCTCCTCTCCAGGAGTAAGCCATGACGAGCTGTTCTGTAAGCAATGGGAGCGTCATTATACCTACAGCGCTGCCCAGGAGGACAATGGTTGTAGCGATTTCGAAGTGATCTGGAAAGTAGTCAATGACACATGCGTGAGAAGGCAAAATGACGACGCTTAAACCGAACCCTGGTGAAAAAGGGAAAAAAACATTGTCATGAAATATATAATTTTGATAAAGTTAGGGACGGTTTTTACGAACAAAATATACTTGTATTGTCGTCTGTTTGATCACTTTTTCAATTGTAAAAGATTACAGAAAATTCAGAAACAAGATTATGTAAGAAAGAACTTAGTGGCCAATTAACCTGCTTTGATGGGAGTACCACAGGGGTAAACTTTGGGTCTATTATTATGTACAGGGGAAATTGTGGGAAGAAGGAGTAGGGAAAGAAGGAGGATACTTTGGATGGACAGTCTGCAGAAAGTGTTGGAAGACAGAGGAGTTAAAGAACTGGGAGTGGTGCCTATAGAGAAGGCTAGGAACTGAGGGTTGTGGAACAGCATGATCGCCAAAGTCAATCGATATGGCACTTAGAGAGAGAGAGAGAGAGATCTATGTAATAAGAAATTCGCAGAAGTCCTACCTGTTACAAGCATTAGTAGTAGAAAGTGTATTCCAGATGTTGCAAAATAAATGAGGCTGAGTCCTGTAGCGGCAATGCTACTGCCTGTAAAGATGAGTTTTCCTGCTGAAAATCGCTTTAATAGAGGGACATTTACAACCGCTGTGAAATTAAACATTTACAGGCAAGAATCAATTAGAAAATGTTTTGTTTAAAAATAGTAAGTATATTCAAGAAAAAATTGAAGTAATTGCTTTCTGGCAGGATAGATTAGCAAAAATGTCATGGATTGTCTGAGATGTTATTACTTTGTCATTGTTAGGGATTAGAATATAATTTGCGTGACTGACTCAGCGATGCGACATTTATTAATTAAAATGCTTTACAATGAAAATCATTTATAAATGATATCATTATGTTAAATCTAAATGGATTTATTCCATTGCTATAGCACATGGAGCGTCACGCGTCCATATCGACTATATGTTCTTTAAATACATGTAGTTACAAACCGATGCTTTAGGGCACAATGGAAAATCAATACTGGTTATGATTGATAAATGGCCATCGTAACAAAAAGCATCTCACCAAAGCAATTTGCTACGCCATGACATAGTCCAATGGCTACTCCGACGACAGCGAGAGACGTTTGCAAATCTTCCGTCATTTCCTCAAGGAACACGCCCAGCGATTTTAGCGTTCCGATGTCAAAATATCCGACGGCAAAGAGTCCCACAAGAATCAGCCATCGCTTCGTTGATCCTGATCTGCTCTGCGAGTCCATTATTTCCATTCGAATGTAACCTGTATGCTCATGGTAGCACTTATCAACTGGGTGTACCAATAAGGCAGACTTTTAGCTAGATTAACTGGTTATGATCAGGCTTTATACCTCATGAACCTATCAAAGGCATATTTCACAATATAGGTCACTCAAAGAGTAAAACTGCATAATGTCTTGTCTGATTACGTGACTACGAAATCAATACAGGTTGCCCCCAGGGTTTGCGTGCTGTCAGCACCAGTATTTATCATGTATACAAATGATTGTACCTCGTCAAGTAACCATGTCTGAATTGGGGTGAAGAACATTTCTTGGTATTAAACATAGCTAAAACGAAAGAGATGATTTTCGAATTTCGTTCAAACAAAGGTCAAGCAAATCCAATCATGCTTAAAAGAGAGGATAAACGGAGTGTCAAATAACCATGTCTCAATTGTTAAACATGCTGATGACACGGCTATCATTGGCATGATCCATGGCAATGATGAACGCCAATGTCAGGAGGAGTTATTCATATTTGAGAATTGGTGTGAGGAACATTTTAAGTACCTTGGTACAATAATTGAAAATGAACTATCATGGAAAAACCAATGCCAATCTTGGTATACAAAGGCTCAACAACGAATGTACTTTCTACGAAAACTGAATTCGTTCCACGTTGACAGAACCATCCTGAGGTTATTCTACAAATCAGTAATAGAGAGTGTAATGCTTTTTAGTTGTGCGGTCTGGTACGGTGGGTGCAGATCTAGACAGGAGAATCTTAAGATATTGCAGAGAATAGCCAATCATGCTGGCAAGATGACTGGCGAAGTGACAGATTTGAAACAGGAATGCGTTAGTACAATACTGAAACAGGTATTCCAGATTCTGGAAAATAGTCATCACCCCTTCATCCTTGCTATACCCTATTGCGATCGGGGAAGCGGTACAGATCAATAAAGGCTCGAACTTCACGATTCTTTTGATAATTCATTTGTCCCGCTTTCCTTTCGTAAGTACAATGAACAACTCCAGTCAAATTAAAAAGGCCTGTATCTTGCCACTTCGATATTCATCAATTACATTGTACCATTTCCTTTCCACCAAATGTACCAGTTTCACGAGCAAAGAAAAAACAACTAGCTATGATATCAAAATTATGTTATTGCAAGTTGTAGTTGTTTCCGGTTAATTTATGAAGAAAAATATAGAACAAAAATCAGCTATATTACCGTGACAAATAATGATAATAAATAATGTTGATGATGAGGATGATAATAATGAATACAAAATAGTAACAATAATAATATCGATAATAATAATGATAATGATAATGATGATAATGATAATGATAATGATAATAAGAATACAAATAATAATAATAATATTTCCGTTTATTTTCTTATATTATTCCACTATGTAAAAACGATTTATATCCGTGTTTCCATAAAAATACGTCATTGTAACTTTTCTACTGTGTATTATCTATTTGTGTACATTATTTTATATCGTATATTGTTCGTGTGCTTTTTGTCATGCCAACAACAAATAGACCAATTAAATTAATCTGAATCTAATCTAAATCTGAAAAATCTGAATTATTATCAACAGTAGAGGTGGTCTATTCAGACTGGAAAAGGTATGACTGTATATGGACTTTGCACTTTTTTATTCAGTGTACATGTGCATTATTGATGTGCATTATTATCACTGGCGTACTGATGGGGGGGGGGCTTGGGGGCAGTTAACCATCTAAATGAAATTCGAACGTGGTTTATTTCTAATTCGATACCAGTGATTTACGAATGTTGCTGAAATGACATGATTTTTCCATTTGTGTCTTCTTACTTTTGCTCATTATGCCAGAGGTAGGGGTAGAGGGGGGGGGGGACACTGTGCCCCACTTTTTTCAGGTACCCCAAAAAATCCTTCTTTTCTAATAACTGACCTTTCTTCTCTTTTCATTTCTGGTGAGTATACGTCTTTTCAGGTGCGAGAAATTCCCCTTTTCACCTCTGATAATTTGCCTTTTTTACTTTTTTTGACTCGTGCCCCTTTTGTTTCTTAATAAGTGTACATTACATTCGTAATAAGAATCCCCTTCACTCTCTCTCTCTTAAATGCCACTTTTCACCTCTGATAAGTGCCCTTTTATTTTGACATGTGCCCCTTTTCCTGTCTAATATTGTACCATGTGTCCTTCGGATAAGTGCCCCTTTTCCTTTTCTATATGAGCCTCGCCCCCTTTTCAAGATGCCCCTTTTAACATCTGATAAAATACCCCTATTAAAATGTGATTGGTACCCTTTTCCTTCGACAGATTCTCCATTTCCATTCTTACAAGTGCAATTTTCACCTCTGATAATAGCCCTTTTTACTTTGACACGGGCACCTTTTCTTTTTTAATAACTGTCCTTTTTCCATTTGATAAGTGTCTATTTTTCCTTTCTCCATAACATGCACCCCTAATTCTAGGCGACATAGTGCCCCATTTTCTCTAATTTTCCCTAGAGCTCGCTCGCTACGCTCGTTCGCATTAATTTTATAGATGATATAATTATGTTACTATGTAACTTTTCAGTCTTTTTTTTTATAGATTGTGCTTAATACTAACACGGGTTTGTTTTTGTCTTCTTCTTTTTTTTCGCACTTTGACCTCACAAATCTTTAAATTTTTGCTCGCTCGCTTCACTCGCTCGAAAATTAATATACTTACCATCACACCAAACTGCAGGGTATGTTGCTTATTAAATTCAGCAGTATCTTGTACTACGAAAAGATAGAAACAAATATTGGTGTCATCCGTGGTAGTGTAATGACATTCATGACGATGTAGGGGTATATACTTTTGTCCACTGATGTTTCCCTTTGTAGGTGCCCCCCCCCCCCCTCCTATTTTGAAAGACGCTCCGCCGCCCCTGCATTATGCTCTTTGGTTTGGGATGCGGATTTTAGTCGAGAAAAGTACGACTGTATATGGAATTTGCACTTTTGTGTTAAGTGTGTGTGTGAAGATTTAAGCGATCGTTGTGCTTTCATATTCAAAGCTAACTGTTGAAGATCATCATGATTATTATTTTTATGATTAAATGATTATAAGACATGATGGATAGTAGACAAAAATGGGTATTATACAATTGAATGAAATGACAAAGGTTCTGCGCTTCGCGCGAGAAGGGGGAACTGAATTCAGATAAGGATTAAGAGTCGAGAACGGCACAACGAATCGTCTTCTTTCTCTAATAATTTGATGAAACGACAAAGCTTCAGCGCTTCGCACGGGAGGGGGAACGCCACCCTCCTAGGGAGCGCGCTCCGCGCTCTTTAAATGATTCGCACGCTTTGCGCGCTCAGTACCGCCCCCCTGAAATAAATTCCTAGCTACGCGGTTGAACCCCCCTCCACCCCCCCCCCCCCCCCCCTCCCTGTAGCAAAAGGCTAGATTCGCCCCTGCCTATCATTCCAAAGTCTAATCTGTTGCATTCAGATAATCCCTTCCTTAAATGAAAAGGCAGTCTTCAGCCTCCACAATGCACCCAGTTATACCCTCTCCCGTTTCACAAAACGGGTATTCCTGATAAAGTGCCAACATTTTTTTTTTTCTTGGCAGATCATAAACATCACATTTCATTATCGGATGAAAACGGTATATCAATCAGGGGGTCGGTTGCTATCAGCTGAATATCATCGGGTCCTTTGCCAAAATTGATAGTAATCTGAAGCCTTGATTATATACTTTTCTCCACGTTTAAAGAAAAAAGTTTGTTGAACGATATCTCCGCTACCATTCGGAATTTGTTAGTAGTACTACATATATATTTAATTTGTGATACCTTAAAATGATAATATCAACATCCAATTTTCATTTGATAGATTTTTATATATCTTATTATCTTTTGTCGTTCACTGTACTCTGTTCATCATTCTTCCGGGCCAGTCCAACAATAACTCGAGGCTATTTCAAAAACCTTTAAAGGGATCCGGTAACTTTGTCTCAGATTCTGAAACAACATCCTTGATTTAACTCATGCTGCAAAGAAAGGTCAGTCAGGAACCCCACGACTTTTACAAGCCGATCGCCTGTCTGATTATCAAGATATTTATGATGGGAAATCAAATCCAAATTTTGCGTTTGCCTAACGGTTTTCATAATTGGTCGCAATCCGAACATGATTTATATTGGATATAGAATAAGATTATTGTAAATTGACCTTTAGTTGATTTATTGAAATATATAGTTACGATTGTCTTCAATTGACTTTCTATAGCCACAATTATGATGGTAATCTTCGGAGCTTACAAGAAATCAGCATTACGTAATAACACGTCAACAAGGCCTGTCACTACAATTATATAATAGTATGTAGTTGTAATTTTTATAGCGCCATTTCACTGGATGCAAAGCCCCTTGAGATGTCATCCATGAGTCAGTGTTATGATAGTTCAAAAATTAACGTACCAGTATAGCATTAATTGCAGTGACAGTGAGTTCAATGAACGCATATGGTTTCAGAGTACATCAACATTATGTCTTCTAACTCTGTTTAAAGATAAAGTTGAGTTCAGGCCATGCGATTGCATTGTGAAAGAAACGGTGTGGAATCGATCGAAAAAGGTTGATCATCTAGTATATAAGTATTGGTGTGTGCTACAAGGTTCTGGAATCATCAAACTGATACGAAAATTGGCCCAGTCTTGGTAAAGTTACAAGGCATTTGAAGAGCCAGGCTTTTCAGGGAACATTTCAGTATCTGATGTTCTCCACTCTTGCATGATAACGATGATAACGCTCACAAATTATTGTTCACCTCTTCCCAGACCTCAACTTTCTGTTTAAATTCTTATTCTGCTGGTGATGATTTCAATCGAGGAGAATGACCTTAATTGTTCCAAGGTTCGGAAGCAGTAGATGGGAAAGCCGCATTTACATTTTCAGTCATACATTGATTCAATTTTGTTAACTAACTGCAAATTGCTTTCATGTATATGGTGGATTTAAATACTTCTATATTGTTTTT